ATGAGTGTTGCATACAGTGGTTGGTTGGTTGTTATTTTTTGAGGCAGGGTCTCATGAAGTCCAGGCTGGCCTCAAATTCACTATGCAATGGAGGATACCCTGGATCTCCAGGTCCCCATCTACCTTCCCAGCGCCAGGATTACAGCGAGTGTCACCACACCCAGTTTAATGGCTTACATTTTCCTAGGTTTTTTTTTTTTTTTTTTTAATGCAATGGTGCATAATAGCCCACAGGTTATTGTCAGTATCAACACTGGACCACACAAGAGGAAACAGATGGAAAAACATTTGGGATGATTGCAACTTAACAATGTGTTAAGATTACATTTCTAAAAGTTAAAAAGAAATTAAATAGGTCCTTTAAAAAGACAGACTAAGCCAAAATTCTACCATAATGCTCTCTACATCAAAAGGAAGAGATAAAGATACATACATCCATATTTAAATAGTCACGGTTTGGGAGACATCTATATAAGAGAGAAGTCATAAAGGGAAAGACAGGTTTACCTACACCAAACAAACAAAAAATAACCCCACAATTCTGTTTCAGAAACAAACTAAAATATTAACAACAGAAGCAGAAACTATGTACAATATAAACATCAATAATTCAAGATCTTTTTTTTTTTTTCTTTTTGGTTTTTTGAGACAGGGTTTCTCTGTGTGGCTTTGAGCCTTTCCTGGAACTCACTTGGTAGCCCAGGCTGGCCTCGAACTCACAAAGATCCACCTGCCTCTGCCTCCTGAGTGCTGGGATTAAAGGCGTGCGCCACCAACGCCCGGCATAATTCAAGATCTTTAAATGCACAGATTTAAAAAATGAAATGGTAGAGCTGGAGAGATGGCTCAGCAGTTGGGAGTACACACTACTCTCACAGAGGACCTGGGTCCAGTTCCCAGCACTCACATCAGGTGGCTTACAACTACCTGCGACTCCAGGGTCAGGACATCCAATGCCTCTATTCTCCAAAGCACCTACACTCTCACACACACACAAAATTAAAAACAATAAAAATAAACCCTTTTAAAATGAAATCCACCAGGCAGTGGTGGCGCATATCTTTAATTCCAGCACTCGAGATGCAGAAGCAGGCAGATCTCTGTGAGTTTGAGGCCAGCCTGGTCTACAAAGCGAGTTCCAGGACAGGCTGCAAAGCTACGTAGAGAAACCCTGTCTTGATAAACAAACAAACAAACAAACAAACAAACAAACAGAAATCCTAGATGGGCAATGATGGCAAACACCTTTAATCCTAGCACTCAGGAGGCAGAGGCAGGCGGATCACTCTAAGTTCGAGGCTAGCCTGATCTACAGAGTGAGTTCCAGGACAGCCAAGTCTATACAGAGAAACCCTGTCTCAAAAAACCAAAATAAGTAAGTAAGTAAGTAAGTAAATAAATAAATAACTAAATTTTTAAAGATTAAAAAATAAAAAAAATGAAATCCTGTCTTGGTGTGATGATATACATATATAATCCTAACATTTGAGAGGCTGAGCAGGGATACTGCAAGTTTGAGGCCAGCCTGGGCTACAGAGCAGGACTTGCCTAAAAAAAGTTATACCCATAAAGTCTCACCGACGTGACTTCCTAAACATGAGCTGAACAAGAACAACAGACATGCTAAACTGGATAGGGAAAGACCTCAGGGCCTCAACCTTACAAAAGAACTACAGGCAACACAGGACTGCTGAGAAGAAGAAGAGTCCTCCCCAGGGAAGAGCATACCAACTGGTTGTCCAATGCCAAATGGTCAGCCCTGAAAACATACACACAAGTAACATTACACAGACTGACTATATTCATATATATATATGCATGCAACAACAATTAATGGAAAAAAGAGGTCATGAATTTGAAAGAGAGCAAAGGGGTATATGGGAGGGTTTAAAGGGAAAAAAGGGAAGGGGAAATGGTGTAATTATAATCTCAAAAAATAAAAGTAATACAAAATTGCCAAAAAACAAACAAACAAAAAACAAGCCCCTATGAAACAATGTATCTAGGTAAGGTTATCCATGATTACTAAACCCATGGCAGTCAACAGGTTTATAACAAATAGGACCCATTGGAAAGACCAGAATCAGGCTCAGCATCACTAAGAGTGAGATGACCTGACAACCGTGTGCCCCTTAATCACAGCTTAAACAGGGAAATGCAGTGCACAGCACAGCTTAGAAAGTATGTTTGCACTTCCAGATTTAATCTAAATTCACAAGTGTCTGGCTCTCCCAGCTTACTAGAAACAGGCGGATTTAATAACATCAGAATGAGGCTCAAGAACAATCAAAGTAAACTCAAAATGATAAAAAATTCAGAAGACTGCTTATCTTGGGGTGGGCACAGACTAGAAAGGGCAGAAGGAAGCTTTTGGGGTTACTGGGCGTTTTTGATTTGAATAGCCGTCAGTGCACTGAGTGCCATAAAATTACTCTTGACATCAGTGCACTATAAACGCTGCTGATTATATAGAATACCTTGAGGGTTTTGTTTTGTCTTGTTTTTGTTTGCTTTGCTTTTGATTTTGGAGATAGGGTCTCACTATGTGGCCCCGGCTAGCCTAGAACTTAATATGTGGACCATACTGGTCTTGAACTCACCACATCCAGCCCAAGTTTTAAAAACAGAAAGAGAAATGAACTTTTGTTGATTTCCCACCACTACCTCATAGAGCTAGGAGCCAGTGACGAGGCCAAGAGCAGGTGGCACTGTACTGAACCCAAGCGCCTTCCCCGCCACAGCCACTGTACACAGGAGGGTGGGAAGGAGCAAGGCCCAGGCACTGCAGCTGGGGTGTGCACAGGGAAGCTTCATCACGCTGGCGGTCCCTCGAGTAAGCCCTCTTTCCCTTTAAAGGACGTGAAGTCATTTCCTCTATGCACCCAGCACACTGGCACACGTGACTGCACCTCATCCGAGAAGCTGAGGACCAGAGCCTTTCAGATTTTGTAATTTTCTGAACTTTATAGTATTTTATGTACCATTTATAGTATTTTGTGTACCATTTGTATGCATAAACTGAAAGTAATTTTATTTAAAATGTTTTTTGACTAAAACCAAGCTTTGTAGTATGGAATTTTCCAGTTATGACATCATAACAAGTACACAAAAAGTTCAGACTTTGGACCATTTGGGATTTCAAATTTTCAGATTATGGATGCTGCCCCATGGTGTGAATGAGACAGCTAAAGTTGTGATTGGCCAAGAGGAGTGGTGCCCGTCTCTAACCCCAGCACTCGGGAGGCAGAGGCAGGTGCATCTCTGTGAGTTTGAGGCCAGCCTGGGCTACAGAGTGAGATCCCAGGCAGCCAGGGCTACATAGGGGGAGTTTCAAAAAACCCAAACAAGCAAACAAAAGCTATGACTGTGCTTGAGGCGAGAAACTCAGAAGAGTGAGCTGCAGAGAGAGAGGTGTAAGAATCCATGGGATGTTGTGGTATTGTATTCCCCCAAATATTGTGCATGCTAATAAACTTACCTGGGGTCAGAGACAGAGCAGCCACAATATTAAACATGAGGACAGACAGTGGTAGCACAGGCCTTTAATCCTAGCATTCCAGAGGCAGAAATCCATGTGTTCAAGGATATAGCCAGGCATGGTGACTCATCACGCCTTTAATCCCAGGGAGTGGTGGTAGAAAGCAGAAGGCGTGAGGACCAGAAACTATAAGCATTTGGCTGATTAGGTATTTGGCTGGTTAAGCTTTCAGGCTTCTAGCAGCAGTTCAGCTGAGATCCATTCTGGATGAGGACTCAGAGGCCTCCAGTCTGAGAAAACAAGACCAGCTGAGGATCCGGCGAGGTGAGGTAGCTGTGGCTTGTTCTGGCTCTCTGATCTTCCAGTGTTCACCCCAATAACTGGCCTCAGGTTTGATTTTATTAATAAGAACTTTTAAGATTCATGCTACAGGATGTGCCTTGAAATGACAGGGCTGCCTGGGAAGCGAGGTTAACTACAATCGTGTGAAGAGGAGTGTAGCCTCTCCTCACGCAGCCCATCCTTTAGCCTTACCTCCACACTCACCCCAGGAAATGACCTGGCTGCCTGATGTGGTCTGAGCTACCTCTCCGGTACCCCCTTTATGTTTCTGTTTTTGCAGTATTAGGGATTGAACCCAAGCCCTCACACAGTTTAGGCAAGCACTCTACCACTGAGCTACACCCCCCATCCCTCTTTTAACTTTTGAGATAGGGTCTCGCTAAGTTGCCCAGGTTGTTCGTGAACGCATTCTGTAAACCAGGCAGGACTTGAACTGTGATCCTCCACCTCAGCCTCCTAAGTAGCTGGGATCACAGGCCTGCACCACTAGGCCCATCGCTTCCCTTTACTTTCATTGTTCACAACATGACCTTATGTCTTAGGAATGTCCTCCTCTATACGTGTGGACACTGAAGCACCAAGAAGTGGAGAGATATCCCATGATCACGCAACTAGCCAGAAGCAGCTCAGCATTTGAATCCAGGAAACCCACATCCACAGGCCATGCAACAATCACAACTCAGCTTATAGGCAGAGAGCACCTTCTTCAAGTTGGTGGTTCAGTTCTTAGCACCACTGGCGAAGGAATCCTGGACAAGCTGCTGAAGGTGTCTGAAGCCCAGTTTCATATACATCATGGGTCTAACAGCAACTTGTTTAAAGGATTTGTTGGGCATGGAGGAGTGTACCTATAACTCTAGCACTAGAGGCTGAGGCAGTAGATTATGAAATGGAGGCCTGCCTAGACTGTACAGTGTATCTCAGGGCCAGCCTGGCTTGCATAATAAGAGCCCATTCCAACCGTACAGACCCCAGGAATACAGCTCTTGGGGAGGGAAACTAAGCAGCTATAGGAAAACGAACAATCTTCTTATGGGTTTACTTGCTGAATGCATGCTCAATCCTCAAACAGTTGGTCACCTACTAGTAGAATGAGCCTTCCAGTGCACAAAGATTTTAAAACCACACTGCTGTGTTTCAGAGGGATGGAATAAAAAATAAAAACAAACCAAGAACTCACCTAATGCTCTGACAATTCGCATCAGGACCTCCCCAACTTTCATTCTGGTCTCTGGAGTGTGCTTGTCTTTACCACTATCGTATTTGGCCAACAGGTCAACCAAGATTTCCTCAGGGTACACATCTGAGAGAAGGGCCACCCCTGGGGTTCAAAGCAGAAAGAAAGAATTCATTATTTAGGACAGAAAGGCAAGTAAGTCTAGATACCATGATGGGTGAACACAAAGATTTATTTATTTTTACATTTATTAATTTGTATTTTGTGTGTGTGTGTGTGTGTGTGTGTGTGTTTGTGTGTGTGTGAGATCAGAGGACGAGTTTAAGAGCCAGTTCTGTCCTTTCACCCACCTGCATCCTGGGTACAGAACTCAGGCCATCAGGCACCTTTACTCTCTGAACCATTTCACCAGCCCATATAAAGACACTCCAAACCCAGCTGGAACTCTGAAGGCCACACTGCTCTCTGGATAGATGACCCTTATAAGTAGAAGGTAGTGACTGGAGTCCAAATCCTCAGATTTGCTAATTCTAGCCAGGGCTCTCATGTATTGCCACTGACATTCTATGATCTCAGGGCTATGGACAAATGCAGTATAGGCTAGATCACTAGATGTCATGGCTGGATTTGCACATTGGCAAGGAACAAGGGATTCTCCAGATTCTAGATTCTAGAGTTTGATGAACAGAAATGTTCTGTGAACATCAGCCCAAAGCACAGTAGTGCTCCATGCCTTTGCTATAGCTCTTCATTACAGTGTGACTTCTCTTACAAAATTGTAATTGTGAGAGCATTTTTCCTAAGGAAACGTTTTCAAAACCTTCTTGGCGTGACAGGTATTAGATCGCAGCTTCCAGCTGATTTCATGGATCCCTTCCCCTATCCACGTCAGGCCTCCACAGTATGTACCCAACAAGAGTGCTATCACGTCTGAGCCCAGCTCCACATTCAACCTCAGCAGGGAAGCAGTGAAGGGAGAGATGGCCTTGGAGAGTAAAGGCTGCTGGTCTCCAAATCATAGAAATTCTACTGCTCAGGGAGGAAAGCTGTTCCCTTCTAAAGGAAGGGTGTGCACTCCTCCTGCAGCCAGGAAAAAGAAAGCTACAAATAAAGGAGGAGATGGTTTCAGAAGTCTCCCTGCGTTAATCTTAACCTCTCAGGTCCTCAATGCCAGGTCTGCTTTTCTCAGCAACCTTCTAATTGCTCCGCCGGCTTCTACCTTTATTTTTTATTGCAACAGGAACAACTGTTTAAAAATACACATCAGGCTAGGCGTGGTGGTGCACACCTTTAATCTCAGCACTTGGGAGGCAGAATCAGGTGGATCTTTGTGAGTTCGAGGCCAGCCTGGTCTACAGAGTAAGATCCAGAACAGGCACAAAAACTACACAGAGAAACTGTCTCAAAAAAAACCAAAAACAAAACAAAAGAAGGAAAGAAAGAAAGAAAAAAACCACATCATGCCCCTTCATTCTTCTGCCCCAAGCCGTCAATGTGCCCCTCTCCCTCTGGGCTCTTAACCGCTGAGCCACCTCCCTCCCGTCTCCTCTGAATAGGAAGGAAACCTCATCCCCTTCACTGTCTACTCTTCCTCTTGCCCCACCCTCTCTCCATGATCCAAGAACCAAGGAGGCCTTTTTGAAGACGCCATTCTTTGCTCACTTGTCCTGAGCAATTAGTTGTTTTGGGACTTTGTTGTTGTTGTTTGTTTTTTACATTTTTTTTGTGTGTGTTTTGTTTTTTGAGACAGGGTTTCTCTGTATAACAGTCCTGGCTGTCCTGGATTGCCAGCTTGCTCCCCAACTCCCAGCTCACATCCTGTTGGAATATAAAGTAGCAGACTTCTTCCACTATCTCTTGACCCTTCTTGCCTGCCTTATATTCTTCTTAGAACACAGCATTGCTGTTTAGCTCACACAATCCCTTATGGATTGTCTCTTCTCCTCAGAATGCAAACTGCATAAAGTCAAGGATTTTTTTTTATTCCCCACTGTATCCCCAATGCCTAGAAATGGGCCAGCACACGGTAGGCATTCAATAACTATTTGCTCAATGAGTCTATGAATGAATGAGTAAAAACAGCTCAAAGAGTCAGATGTGGTTTATGCCTGTCGTCACAGCACTCAGAAGGATCACAGGTTTGAGGCTAGTCTGGGCTGCATAGAGTAGATTCCAAAGCAGCCTGGGCTGCAAAGTGAAACTGTTTCAAAGCCATAAAGAAAAGGAAGAGAAAAAAAAAAAAAGGAGAAAGAGGAGATAAGGAAAAAGAAGGGGAGGAAGAGAAGGTGGTGGCAGTGGTGGTGGCAGCAGCCACAATGGCTCAAAATAATCATGGTAGAAATCCCAAAAATGTATAGAGAGGATGGGGAGGGAGTCGGCATAAGCAACACTCGAGGACCTGTAATTATTTTCATTTAGGTTTGCCACTCTATTGTTTAACCTGACTATCTTCAGGAATGTCGCAGATTATTTTCTACAGTATAGGTTGTGAGTCTCCCCTCATTTACATCTCACACCCACAGTCTTCGCTGCACCTGCTGGGGGCTGCACCTGTCTACCTACCCTCTTGTCTATCTTCCCCACCACCCCTACTTCCAAGGAGCCTGGGAAGCCTCTGCATGTGGGCTCACACCTCATGTGAGCAGAAGCTCTGCTCACATGGAGTTTCAGGCTGTGACAGGAAGAGAAATACAGTGTAAACTGATGGAGAAGTCTTTGGGAGTGTCAGGTAGAATCAGGGAATATTCTAGCTTAAGAAATATATCTGTGGGTTAAGGAAATATAAATTAATTCTTTACTAAGAAAGAGAAAGGAAATAGCTTCTAGATTCTGGAAAAACCTCAAAGAACAGTGAAATGGCCCGTGGCAGCTGCAACCCCAGCCGGCTCGGATCACTGGTGACCTGCAAGCCTTCACTGCAGCTGCTCTTACCCAGGGGCTCACCCTCAGATCCAGTGAGTCTGTGTCCTTCAGGAGTAGAGATGTGACTCTGTCATGAACAGTGGGGAAATGGCATTGGCTGTATAAAACTCTGATCCCTAGCATTCCTGAAAAACCATCCTTTCCTGACATCTCTCCCGCCTTGTTTATTTCTATTTTCTCTCTCTCTAGCCTTTAGCAGAAATAGTTATTTACTTCTTTGGACATATTATTCCAGCTAAACAAGCTCAGATATGAGGCTGTGACACCATCTACTCTCCGGGTTCCCTCCTGGGGTTCCTTTGGGAACCAGTGGTTCCCCCTTTCCCATTCCCTAGTTAAGTGTGCTAATAACCCACTTGCCCGCCCTCTGGGAGGAACTCATACCCCAGGTTGGCAAATTACACCACTCTGTCCCATCCCCACCATAAGGATTCATTCAGGAATGGGAAAGGAGGCTAGATCCCAGAACACAGGTTGGAACTCCATGTAAAGGTAGCCCCCACCCCTTTCTCTAAATTAATGTCCTGGAGTTTCCAGTGGCCACTATGAAGATAAAAAACCCACCCAGCAAGACACCAACATGGAGCCAAGCTAAGGGAGGAGGGAAAGGGAAGAGCCCTGATTGATCCTCTGGGCCTCCAGGTCTAACTGTGCTCCTACTTAGCAGACATTTTGGATACACAGCTAATAAACACTATCTTACGTTTGTGTCAGTTTCTTTTCCTTCCTTCCTTCCTTCCTTCCTTCCTTCCTTCCTTCCTTCCTTCCTTCCTTCCCTCCTTCCCTCCCTCCCTCCCTCCCTCCCTCCCTCTCTTTCAATTCTTCAACCAAAGGAATTCTAAAATACCTTCTTTGCTGGCTAGGTTTATGGCAACCTGACACAGGCTAGAATTACTTGAGAGGGAACCTCAAATGAGAAAATGCCTCAATAAGAACAGGCTGGAGGGCATTTTCTTAATCCATGACCGCTGCTAGAGGGCCCAGTCCATGGCGGGTGGTGCCATCCCTGGGCTGGTGGTCCTGTGTTCTGTAAGAAAGCAGGCTGAGCAAGCCATGGGGAGCAAGCCAGTAAGCAGCATGCCTCCATGGCCTCTGTGTAAGCTCCTGCCTCCAGGTTCCTACCCTGTGTGAGTTCCTGTCCTGACTTCCTTCTACAGTGAACTGTGATGTGAAGCACAAGTCAAACAAACCCTTTCCTCCCCAGCTTGCTTTGGTCATGGTGTTTATCACAGCAATAGAAACCCTGACTAGGACACCCCCTTTCAGATTTTTTTCTTTTCTTTTCTCTTCCTATAATGCTGAAGTCGAAGCTCCACCAGGCAGCATTAACTACCCACACTCTTCTACAAAAGGGCACTGATGGCTAAGCACAGCCCCACTTCCCACAGCCCTGGGTTCCACTGGCCAAGTTTATCTTCCTGCTAGGCCACTACTCAGACAACTACCAAGGGCCATCTGACTGCTGCTTGAAGCTTTCCTTCTAGAATGCAGCTGCTGCCTTAGAGTTTATCTGGGGCATAAAGGAAGTGTCAGCCTCACTCACTAGACAGCAAGAAGAACCACATATAAAGAGAAGATCGTGACAGTACAAAGGATGAGACAGTGCTTATTTATTTAATTTATTGGGGGTTATTACTTGTAAGGGTTTCTACCTTTGTCATGCTGGGGTACAGCATAGGGCAGAGGGGAACTGGCTCAACAGGGAAACTCTTACTCAAAGTCCAGCTCCTAACGAAACACCAACTTTGCAAAGGAACTGTTTCCCTGTGCCCCCCAGAGACTTAGATTACAAGGAGAAGTCTACTGATCGAAGCAGTGACCTCCACATGATCCCTTAGCATGCTGCCAAGTCATCTGGAGAGCCTTTGGGCAGGAAGGAGTGGGTGCAGGGGAAGGCTCGACTCTTTATCAGAAAGGTGGATAGCTCTAACTGGGGATGCTGATTGGATCTATCCCAGGAGCCTGCTAAGCCATCTTGACTTCAAAACTAATCTGCCTTGCTTTTCCTGGGCAAACAAACAACTACATAAAATACGTGCTCAATTTGGAAAACTGCGGACTCACTCAAGCTCCTTAGGTGCTTCTGCAAACCAAACTGTAAGAGGTACACAAACCACACAGATTGTGTAGCGCCTTTACATGGGCTATTCAGATTAGACCAATCTATATACAGAGAAAGTAGATGTAATGGTTACCTAAGGTTGTGAGAGTTAGATAGAGAC